GAGTAACGTGTAAGCTTGCCTGTAGGAAAATGCTGGCCATGTTTCCTCGCATTTTTGGCCTTGGATCGATGGTATCAAGTCTAAGTGGTACACGTAGGGGATAACAACTAAGAGGCCCATCAGATGAGTTAATGCGATGGAAAATTTCACCTGTCGCGAGGTGAGACGTTGCTTGAATGGGTGCATAATCACTCTGTAGCGATCAAAAGAAATCATTGCCAAGGTAAGCGATGCTGCTGTAGCAGAGAGCGTCGCGAGAGGGAACAACGTCTTGCAAAGGGCGCGTCCAAATGGCCATATGTAGTCGTTTTCTTCTAACGCAAGATCAAATGGGATGCTTGTTATAGGAACGATGAGGTCGCAAATCGCCAGGTTGAGAATAAGTAGATTTGACGGCATCCGCATACGCCTTGTCCTACAGACAATGAGCACAACCATGAAGTTTCCAATGAGACACAGCAGAAGTATTATCGAGTAAAAGGTGACCTTGAAGATCTTAAAAGAGAGCGATTCCTTGAAACTTGGCTCCGTTGAACTTGTATTGCCTTCCATGCAGAAAACTTTCTTTTTCGTCAAACTCCTTGAGTTGTCGCGCCAGCCGTGCAGGGACAATGCAAAATGTTCCGAGTAGTGGAGATATCACTTGTAGTGGGTGCAAAAATGTCAGCGTTGATCGTTTCTTTAGTATATGCTTACAGGCGAAGAAAGCGTGGAATGTTTTGTGTTGTTGATAATAGATCTTCCCAGAGCGGGGGCCGAAAAATCCTCATTTTGTTAAGTGGACAATCCCCACAAAAGCAAATCCGTTTCACAGGAACTGAGATACCTCCAATGCAAAGGAAATGGCTTTCTATGACTAAGTATAACGTACGTATGCCTCAGAGTAAGAATTAGTCTGATAATAGATTGAATCTTTACAGTGATACTCATTAAAAGGCCAGAAGTAATCTAATGTGGCTGTATCGTATCAATTACGCGGAGATTCCATGATCCAGATGTGATCGAACTGTTGTGATTTGTCAGCTCTAAAGATATGTTTAGATATTTGTTCACAGCTTGACTCCTACAGCAATAGACGAAAAAAATGTTGTGTATGAAGCGGTGCTTTATTGTTAGCGCCCACATACAAATGACAACTGCCTTCGTCGAAACCCTTTCGACGAATTTGCTATAAGTTACAGTTTGTAGGAACTAATACGATCGATAAACATCATATCATAGTGTATGTAGAGCTTTGTGAACAAGAGGTTAAAGGGGGTGATGTTTTGATAGGTGCAAGGCATGTTTTAGTTAGCTGTCCGCATACATAAGTGCTTCTTGAGTTTTCGCCCTAAAATAAGCTAAGTGGCTTGTCTAATAAAGTATTGTTCACGCGAACTGTTGTATTTTTTATTAGACGAATTTAAATCGCGCCGTTTAAAGCTGTCATTTATTTTTGGTCTACGGATGTGGGTGCTACAAAATGGGTGCTCGTGATACGGTTCTTTTAAAGTTTTGCATACATTCAAAACTTAAATTTGTTTTGGCGGCTTCAAAAGAAGTTAAGAGGTAATTGCATAAAGAAAAACAAATAACACACTATCCAAATCGGATTTAAATTGATAACAGAACAGGTTATTTTCTCGTTTTGTAGTCACGTCTCATGGGGACAATCACACGAAAAAATTTCTATGAATAATAAACTAAATAGAAATTTGCAGTTTGGTCTTTCAATAAGTACTGTACTCTATTTATATTAATAATCACAGGAGTTCAGGCTTCAGGAGTAATCATTGATCGTTTATTGTGACAGTGCTGTTTCGTACGTTCTACCCAGAATACAAGTACTCTATTTATATATATGTACCGTTTCCTGTCACCAAAAATAATCCCTTACAAGCATTTACTGAAGTGAAGCCCACGGTTATCCGAGTTCTACTATTTCAATATTGATATTTTCAGTTGGTATGCTAACAGCATTTTTTTATGCAAAGGAAGCTTTTTACTTTTTCGTTTTGAAACGTGGAAAAATAAAGGAGGATCACAGTTTGAACTTTCAAAAGAAAAATGGCACCGGTCAGGATGATCAATCTTGATCTGTTTTTAGTTGTCCCTTGCAAGTGGATTCCTTGTGTTAAAATCAAAGTGAGTTCATGCATGTGGTGAAAATGAACCAGAATTTTTACGAGTACGAGTAACACAGGGTACGCAAGGTTTTGCCAGGGACCGTGATAACTTTCTAGAAAGTCATCCTTTAGAAGCTTTTAGAATAGCAGTGTTATAATTTTATATTATTATATGAGGACTTATGATAACACACCAATTCAAATAGAAACCTATCGTGGTATTTCAAAACTCAGCAGCTCGCATGATCCAACAGCACACTCATTTTGCGTTTCTCTAGTGAAACCGACATTCTGATCTTTCATTTGCGCACTTGGAGAAATATAGTACCAAACTTAAGCAACTGGAGAAATATTTAGATACTTGATCGCTGCTGAGCACTGCTGCGGCACTGGCATCACCTCCGCCACCATACCTAACACCCACACTGGCACGATCACTTCAGCAATACTACTGCCAATAATGTCACCATCATTAAGCAACATGCCATCACCACCACTGTTAACATCAACAACACCAGCCCAGAGTGCCAATTTACTCCCTCAGGCTAAAGTCTGATTCATAGACACGGTCACTTCAATACTACTGTCAGTAATGTCACCATCAGTTGGTCAACATGCCATCACCACCACTGTTAACATCAACAACACCAGCCCCAAAATGTCAATTTACTCCCTCATGCCTTGAAAGTCTGATTCATAGTTTCCTGAAGCCATTTCAGCACAATTTGAAACAAAACAACGCTATCAAAGTACCAGGAGCCCTTAACCCGGAGCGAGCATCGCCCATACTATGTCACGGCGTTGTCACGGTCAGGTATATTTTTTTAGATACATTTTTGAGCACTTTTTCTCCCGAAAATGGAAATGTAAGATATCAAAAAGGAAAACCAAAAGTTATTCAAAGGTCAAAAATACATTTTTAGGTCTCTTTTGTAGGTTTTGCTGACTGTTTTGTAGGGCTTAAAAGTTAATCTAACTTCGCGCTAAAATCGTTCTAAAAATAACCCTGCCGCTTAGTTACCTGATCTTGTAAACTGAGGAAAGGTTACGTAATCACTACCAGCATGATCATCCGCCAGATGGCGGTCCGGCCGGGCCAGGGTCTGGATCTAGCAATGATCACCTCCACCTCCACACCGCTGCACAAACGTCGTGGTCACCATTACTGCCTCACTATCCGAAATCATCATAATATAATCATACTCGTCATCATCATCATCATCATCATTTGTGGACGCGCCGGTCAATTTAATGGGTCGAATTTTTCCCTGTTCCAAGTATAGCAATTTCCTTCATGTAATCTTAAGTGGCGAATGAGGTGCATTTTCCTAGTTTTTCTGATTAATGGTCACAACGTAACGCATGTTTTTGCTTCTGTTATAAAACCATGACGTAAATTACGTTCCAACAAAGATCTATAATGTGACGTTACTTTAACTCTGAAAGTAAAAATTTTTGGTCCAGGAAAACTCCTTTTTGGGGGTTATTTTAACTCCTCAATATCTGGGGTGATTTTTGCACCTGAAAAATTGTTCTCCTTTTTGGAGTTAAAATAACTCCACTGTAAGGAGTAAACTAGCCCCTCTAAAGGAGTTATTATAAGTCCTTGAAAGTTACTGTAGGTTAAGTATTCCAGCTTGACGAGTTTGCTCGTCACAAAAACCGTTGACCAAGACAGTGGTAAATATACCTTTTTTGCCAATTCCCGGTTCAGTGAAAGCAAAAGAGAATAATCGTAAGGCTGTGGCTAGGCTCGTTGAAGACTGAAGATAATCCTCTCAAGTTTGTCCAATCAAATGAGAGAGCTATCGAGTGGCCATTTCCTTTGGACAAGAAGATTTAGAAGCTTGATTGGTGTGATAGCAAACAATCAACTGTAGTGTAAAACCGTCCAAGTCAATGTAGAAAGTCTGTTAAAAACATCAAATTTCTCTTTGTTTATTTCTAAGGCAAACTGCACCCTGTGAAGGTATTCAGATAGAGACGTTTTGTGTATTAAGTCAGAGGGTAGGACTAACAAGTCTTCAGAGATCTTTGAGATTCAGGAATGACATGGTAAAACGTCTTGTCATTGCATCTCTTGTCACTACCACCCACACACTCCATACCGGTCTTTCTGCGATTTTTGGTGATGGGCACATTGAATGGCTGAAACATCATTGCGTGTCGATGTCCTTTCCGATATTTTTATGTATTCATATTTTTTAATTTTATCGATGATACTTCATGTTCCTGTCAGACTATTAAGCTGTAGAAGCATTTGGTTTATGCAGTGCTCGTTTTCTCGGAGAGCTAGGGCGTTTAAATGCTTCTGACGTTTAGTATAAATTTCTTGCCTATTTTTTAATCTATAACTCTACATCTGGTACAGGCGTAGGTGCGATAACATGTTTCTAACAGATACTGCACTTCAAAGTAGAAACAGAACCTCTCCACATACAAATTGTTGTATGCCTTAGACAAGAATTTAGTTTCTGACAGCTTGAATGATCAGATGACTGACTCGGAATTCGAAGATTTCGTCACAGATACCACTGAATCAGCATCTTCAAATGAGAGCAAATCACTGCATCGACCTTAAATACTTTGATGATATAACAAAGCCCGGAATTCGATCTGAAAATGTTTTGTATGGCAGCTAGGAAAAAGAAATAGACCGGCATATGGAAGTTTGTTCTCTGATAACCAAAAACCAGGGCTTTTACCCGATTGGTGTTATCGCCAGTAAAAAGCTGACGAGCATCAAATTGGATATCCTGTTTTCAGGCACGCTCGATAATGGATTTGAATGCCTCATCATTTTCCTCGAATTCTTGCAGTAACGAACATGGAACCAATGTGATGGAAAATCTCAATAATTTTTCTCTGCAAGCCACAAATGGGCTGTCGGAGGACTTCAGATTATTGAAAATTGTCTGTGACTGCATTATTTTGTTGGGCAGTTCTTTCGGGAACAGTCTCGTCATTTACATCATTGCAAGCAACGTTCGTATGCGAACACCGTCGAACATTTTAATTCTGAACCTCGCTGTGTGTGATTTCGTGACACCTGTGGTCAGCCTTCCCTTTGACTTTGCTCTTCAAGAGTATAACTACGTCTGGACGTTTGGTACAGCAACATGCAAAATTCTTTGGCCCTTAACGTCCATGACTTCCACTTCAGCTGCTTTGACATTGGCGGCGATCTCCTTGGATCGTTATCGTACGATAATGCACCCGTTTAAGTCTCGACTTACAATGGTTAAAATCAAATTCATCATTGCGGGAATCTATGCATTTTCTCTGCTAATGGTCACGCCGTATTCGTATATGCTGGATGTAGATTGTCACCAGTGCCACGAAAAGTGGCCTGACATCTTTTACAAGAAATATTACACATTGGCCCTTTGCATGGTACGATATTTTCTTCCCCTGTTTTTCATGATGGTGATGTACGCTTTGGCTCTAAAAAATTTGTACACGAGTACAGATAAAACGAGGTCCGGTAAAACGCAGAAAGAAAAGGCAGCCGTCAATAACAGCCAAATGGTGAAGGAGGCGACTTCTCCAGAACCTTTGAGGAAAGTTTCCTCTACTGTTCGTCTAGTACGAAAGTTATCATCGACTGTGAGACGAGGAACGAACGTAGCAAACAAACAGGCGACCAAAATGTTCATCGTGGTAGTGGTGGTTTTTACTATTTGCATGTTCCCTAATCAAGCTCTATGGTTATGGGCGGATTTTAGTTCCAGTGCAGGAGAGATCAAATGGTTTTCAAAGGCTATTGTTATTTGCTGGCTTTTTACCTACTCGAACAGCGTGTGTAATCCTGTTATTTACGTAGCGTTCAGCCGCGATTTCAGGAGAGGCTTCAAACGGGTTCTGAGGAGATTGTTCTGCTTCCGTCGCCACAAGCTAAGAAGTGGTTCAAACGCGCATTTAGTGGCTAAACTAACCTCAGAGTTGAAAGGAGCTGCCTCGAACACGGAAGGAAGAAAGAAGAAGAAAGCAGACGTCAAGCAACCACAGGTTTACCTTTTATAAATCGCTTTAAAAAGGCGTCTTAATGAAGTTTAGAAAAACTATGATCAAGCTTCCATTTGGAGGTGCTTGTCGTTATCCTCACCTTGAAGAAATGCGTGTGCAAACATTACTGTCTCAGTGGTTAAGTTCACTTTACACTGATACAACTACTATACAACCCCGGACAGGCTTTCATTTTAATATTCAAAAAGGATGGTTTTCCCTTTTTCATAATACCCCCATCCCCCCTAACAATTTCGAGCACTAACACATTAACTAGCTTTGTTCAATACTGGGCCAGGGGCATGGAGAAGAAGGGAAAAAGAGGTAAAAAGTACCAGTCTTCCCAACACTTTTACGATGATTGTAGTTTCCTGGAGATTTGAGAAGCTAACTATGATAAGTACCCAGTTAGGGTATGATCCAGCATGCCAGAAAGGGGAATTTAGGATCAATCGTTTTTGTGAACTGTATTTTACTTGTTCATTTTTTACTTCCGCGTTTTCAGAATCTTTGAGATTTGAACAGATACGGGAATGATAGAGGAGATTTAGTCCTTTAGCGTACTTGTTATAGAGCCTTCCCAGTTGGAGATCTGGTAAAAAGCGTTTCCACATTCTGAAAATAATTGGCAAGGATTTGTTGCCTGAGGCCTTTCCATTTTCAGACAACGATTACAATAACCCTGCCATCTTCAGTCGGCAATACTGTAATTATCTTAGGCTACAAGCATGCAGAGAAATAAAATGTCCTATTTTAATGGTCATATGTCTCTGCGGAATCGTTGCATTGATATCAAAGATAACAGCTGTGAATTTCAAGAGTCTCTTGAAAAAGTATTTCTTTTCTTTCATGTGTGTCGTCTGAAGCTGAACCGGTGTCAGGGTTTTCTATTCCCTTTGCAAGGGTATTAGAGAACATTGCGTCGTCATACAGTAAATCCTGTAGTAAGCGGAAGGTGTCCGCTAAACAGCAGTTTGTTACACTAAATATTTGACAGCCAGCAGGTCTTCTTCACTCAGTCGAGCCGAGTCGACGCTCGGCTGGACTGGACAGAAGGAAAGGGCCCAGAAGGGAACTGGAGAGACGTGGTCTTCTTCCCCGTTTCCCCTCGGCTGGTCAATAAAATATTATGAGATGTGGTGCTGCTTTTGCCCAGTGATTTCATTAACCCTTTTAGCCCTAATATCCACTTACAAATTCTCCAAACTGATTTCCAAGCATTACCTTAAAAAATTAGTCGAGAGAATGTGATAAAAGATCAATTGTCAAAGCTTTTTCCCCTAGGTGATGATTCTATTAAATCTCATAAGCTTTTCTCTTGATCATGTGGTGATATTGTGGTGAGAAAATTGATGTTTTTTACTATACTATTGGGACTTGACGGGTTAAGCGTTATGAAAGTGCTGAAAATGAATGATACAAAGCATCTTCTTGAATCAAAATTAAAATACAGAAGAATCCCGATTTCTCGAATACTCAAGTTTTTCGACACTCCCAATAATTCGAAACCTAAACTAACTTCCCTTTACCAGCCAACACTGTAATTTTACCCCCGAACTTTCGATTTCCTCGATAATTCGAACTAGTTCGCACTTCCAAAAAAGGTTTGAAAAATCGGGTCCTACTGTACTACGAAGGGTTCGGCCAATGCCAATATTCTCCACCTCCTCCTCCCCCTGACCCCTCCCCCCCCCCTCCCACGTCGGGGCCCTCCCTTCCTATTCCTCTCACAAACAGACTATTTTGCGCTTGAGTGGGACAAAGATGATAGGCGATTAGAGAAGGATAAATCGGGACAATGGCGGAATATCATAACGCTAAGATGTCACTGTCGCAATTGAACCCAGAACTGATCAGTTAAGTTGACTATTGACATAGAGCTTTGGAAGTAGTATTGCGTGCAATGGGTAGTTGGGCAGATGCTTTAATCTGTTTGCTTTTTTTTAGATTAGTATTAAGCATGTTAAGTGGGTAATCCCGTACCGCTTTTGAAAATATTGCTAACAATGCATCTATGGTAAATTCATTCCCCTTTATTTTGTTGGGTAACTTACAGAAAGCGGAAAGCAATCTCGTAGATGTAAGGAATACTTTTGAGGAAGTAAAGTATTGTTAGCGTGACAGTCTATACTAGTACCAGGCTTTAGACCAGGAAGTTTAATCGCGCAGTCTTTGACAACTGGGTTGGAAGGTCCGGTTGCTGCAAAAAAATCGTCAGCTAATTAGCTACCAATAATCTCTAGCATCCTGTTTGAGCCAACTGTTTTTATAGAGTAAATTAATATGGCACTAAAAGGATTAGAAAGCAATATTGACCACTAATTTGTTTGCATTACGAGATTACATTTCATGAAAGAACCTGAAGAGTTTATGCGTAAATTTACAAATAAATTTCTTTATTATTATAATAATTTTGTATTATTGTTATTATTATTATTATTATTATTATTATTATTATTATTATTATTATTTCTATCCATTCTAACCAAACCTCATTTAATACGGGATATCTGATTAAACTGTTAGACAAATTTTGCGCAAATCTGCATTGGATGATCCCTTATTCTTGTTCACTCTTGGGGGGGTTAGAATAACAATGAGGCCACGCGACAGGTACATTTAATTAGATGCCAAACCGGTTGTATATCAATAGGAGGTTTCGTCCAAAAGAGAGTGTAAAGAAAAGATGCAGCGACGACTTGCGGATTGCAATTGTAATTAGTATGGGCTCACCATATCAACCAGGTCCGGGCTTCTCTCAGTGTGAAATGCGCTGAACGTGATCACTCACGGCTTTGTTGGAAGTGCTATTAAAAGCATGTCGAAGAGAAACGGGACTGTTATTGGTGTCAGTAATGAAAGTTTGGCGTTGGAAGGAATTGTTCAAGACGAAGCATCGGGCGATTTTAGAACCACAAAAATATTTTTCTATTTTGCCATCCTATCTGCCAGTACCTTGGGCAACGGAATGGTTGCAGCTATTATCATTAGGAAAATGCGCACGGCTTCACCCTTTCTAATCCTCAACTTGGCCATTTGTGATCTGTTAACACCGCTGTTAAGTATTGTGTTTGATTTTGTCCTTGAGGAGAACAATTACGTATGGCTGTATGGCCACGTCATGTGCAAACTGTTATGGCCAGCACAGACGTACTTTAATGGCGCCTCTTCGCTTACACTCGCGGCGATTTCCTTGGACCGTTATCGACTCATTATGCATCCATTTAAGACACGCTTATCGAGGAAACAAGTTTGCTTGATGATTTGTATCGTCCATGTTTTTTCTCTCGTGGCTGTGAGCCCTTATGTATATGTTCTGACGCTCCAAGGAGGTTCTTGCAAAGAACTTTGGCCCGGTTTCACTTACAGACAAGCTTACAGCCTCTTCCTGTGTCTCTCACAATACGTTCTCCCTTTAACATTTATGATTATTGTGTATGGGCTTGCGATTCGTGCCCTCTACAACACCTCAGCAAGAGTGCGTGGCAGTTCAATCAAAGAAAAGGCTCATCGGCAAGAAGTGACTTCGAAAAAGCCTCAATGCAAACATTCATGCAAGATCTCTAAAACAGGAGCCATTGCAAAAAGAATCAGTCATATACCAAGCATATGGAGTAGTCCAAATGCAAAAGCCATGAAAATGTTTATCATTATAGTAATTGTGTTTGCAATTTTCATGTTTCCTAATCAAGTTGTTTGGCTATGGGCGGACTTTGGTGGCAGAAACAAGACCTCGAATTTTCAGAAAATTTCCATCGTGTGTTGGTTGTTTACCTACACTAACTGTGTAGTTAATCCTGTTATTCTAGGTGTCCTCAGTAAAGATTTTCGAGAGGGATTTAAGGTGATTTTTAAGGGTATCTTGATCTGTTGCGATACATCATCCAAGGCAAAAGAAGCCAAAAAGGAGTTCAGAAAACAAAGTAATAGCTGTACCAAAACTGCATCGATGCTACTGTCAGACGGCGAATGTCATGCAGTGAAGCTCAAAGAATGCAATCTATATCCCGATGGTCATCAACAACAGACCAGTTTACCTTATGGCCCAAACCAACCCTTAATATCCTCATATATTGCGACCGAATCTCAATGCAGGGGCTTTGATTTGCATCGATCTGCAGGAACATTTAAGAGCTTAACTCCAGAAAACAATTTGCAGGTAAAAAGACGGGATTTCGATTACGCGCATGTTTCAGCGATTCCTGACGAGAATTTGGCAATTTTACCTTACTCACTTTCGTATGAACATTTGGAAGCAGCCTTCAACAGTTCGCCCGAGACAGACTGTTAACCAATATGCAAGAAACCTTAGAACATAGTATTCACCAAAATCAGAATTTCTCAGAAGAGGTCCTCAAAAGCCCAGTAATCTGTGCACAGTAATTTTATATATATATTGACTTTCAATACATTATTTTAAATTAAGGAATGTAATTTTCGTTTTCCACGCTATTAACCGCGCCGTTTGACATAAGACTCCATGCTGGCTGAAAAAAGGAATGCCATTGTCGTTTAAAGTTTTCCTTTCTATGCTTGCTTGGGTGAACGCTTTTTAGAAGAAATTTGTACTACCCAGAGCCGTTTGATCTAAAAAATGGGAGGTGTCAGTGTTCCCAGAACACAAAGTTTGAGTCCATTCTCTCTTGAGAAAGACTTGCGCATGAAATCTCATATTAGCTTTTGAAGTTTTTTTTTACAGCCATGCTAATTGACCTTATCAAATTAATTGAAAAAACCAAACGTGTTTCTCATCCCCCACTGTTGCTGCTCTGCAGCACAGTTCCCCTAAACTGACCCCATCATTTGTTTGACATAAGACCCACACTGCGGAGAAAAATGGCCATACTCAACTTCCTTTCTCGAGAGAGACATACTCAATCTTTGATTGTTAATTATGAAATGCACTACTTGGAGTGCAGTGGTTGATTTATGTAATGACTGACTGTTGAGTGTCTCTTACGCCCGCGCGCGCATGCGCAAGAGCCTTCGAGGGATGTCTGACTCAAACGCCCAAGGCCCTGTTCGCACTACCACAAAAATAGAGTTTGGAGTTTGCAAAAAAGGGGAAAAATTTGTAATCACCAATTTTTTTGTTTTTGTAATCTTGTTCGCATCTAAGACACGAAGCGTCAATTACGGGCTTTTTAATTGGCCACGTTGTCAAAATAGTTCACGCTCATAGTTGCATCATGGGTAAGCAGGGCAAGATCGTGGGAAATTAGAAGATTTGTATTAGAATTCAAAGCCAGCTATTTCTTCCTGAATTCATATATTTGACGCTTTCTCTTTGCAAAGAGTTATTTACGAGTTCAAAGAAACAATACACTAAATCTGGAGTGCAAAGAAGTCCGTGATCAATTTTTCGAAAACCTTGATTTTCCCATACGTTTTCTGTAATTCGACAGTATCAAAATTTATTTTAAACTTAATCATCTTTCGAGGAACCGGACGTAAAATTGTATTCCACGAGTATGCTGAAAAGCTAATCAATCCAGTAAATCCACCACCACCCCTCTCCCCTCCCCCTCACCACTTCCTCACGAAGTTTGTGGTTTGGTACAGGACCGCAAAGCTTGGAATCGCATGGAGGTTGTTTGTTGGCACCACTGGTAACCCTCATGAGCGCCCAAGCCAAGCCATGAGAGAGAGTCTTGTAGCCGACTTAGGCAATCTTGAGTTGGCTTCTGATTAGCTCTTGGGATGCCTGTGGTAAGTTTCGCACTACTTTGAAGTAAGAAATTCCTAGCTCGACTCAATCTGTAAATCAATGTGACCATTGAATAAGGGTCCAATCCCGTCATCCCGACCCGATGGTTGCTTTCTGCATCCCGCATCCCGTGTGCGTGCTTTCAATCCAGATCGCCCCAATCCGGGAAGTTTGTGCTTGTAGAATCCGGAATCCGGAAAAAATTTGCATGTGGAATCCGGAATCCCGGGCTTTGGCATCTGGAATACAGCTCAAAGAATCCGCAACCCCACTAGCGATTGGAATCCAGAATCCAAGTTCCACTGACAGAGATTGGAATCCAGTACCTGGAATCCGGAATCCGTGACGTGGAATCCAGAATCCAAGACTGTCTTGGATTCCTTTACATGGGGCGAATCCAGAATTGAATCCGTTTAACATTTTGTTTTAAAATCCCGAATCCCGGCCTTCGATCAAATAAGGCAAATCCCGAATTCTCGTGTAAAACCTCAGGGGCAACGGTCCTCTTTAATGTCTGATTAGGATAAATCTGGAAAATTTGCAGCACAGGTTTGACGGGATGTCATGAAAATCCGCCAATCCGGCGAAGAAGGGAATTTTTGAGGCAAACCTACGCTGACGTCGGTCTCGTCTCGCGGAACGTGACAGTGGCGGAGGAACCGAATGATCTGAGAGGCGGTTTGTTTCCCAAGCCAAGCTTTCTTAGTGTTGTTGTATCCGTTACAGCGAGTCCAAAACTTCTCTATGACTTGGTGCATCACACACCTTTAAAATTGCTATAATTTTTTTACAAATTTTGCTTTTTTTTAATGGCGGGATTCCGGAAATAAAATACATCCTATCAAGAGTCTAAGTTAATTAGCCAAGAAAATTGATCCGCAAACCCAGTGTTGAATGGATAGGGTGGCAAGGTCACTCTAGTCAGACTTTGATCAAACGGCTTGGGAAAAGTCCATGATTCGTGGTTAGTAGATATTACCCAAAAATGGTTGTCAACAACTCTACAATTCAAGACGAAACAACAACCAGCCTGGAGACAACAGAGTTTAGAATCATAAGAATAACATTGTACGTGTTAATTTTATTTCTAAGCTGTATCGGGAACAGTTTAGTTGCAGTTGTTATTATCATAGCTCGAGGAATGCGGACATCGTCAAACGTGCTAATCCTGAGTCTTGCTGTATGTGATTTCTTGACTCCAGTTCTCAGTATTCCGTTTGATATGGCTTATGAGGAAAAAAACTACATTTGGCCCTTTGGAAGGGTAATGTGTAAAGCTCTTTGGCCTTTGCAAACAGCGTCCTCGACGTCTTCCAGTCTTATTCTGGCAGCAATCAGTTTGGACAGATTTAGGACTCTTGTAAAACCCTTAGGCTGGTACATCTCGTTGGGCAAATTGGTTGTTTGTGTGCTGTCAATTAACGCCGTTTCTATCTTTATATGTATCCCTTATTTTGTCGTTTTGAAATACAGTGCCTCTGAGAGATCGTGCCAAGAGAGCTGGCCAGGTGAAGACTACAAACATGCTTACACCATATTTCTATTTTTGTGTCAGTACGCTTTACCTCTGCTAACCATGTCTACAGTGTACATACTTATTTACATCAGCTTACGTTCCAATCTGATTAGGCTGTTTTCTATGGATGCCGAACGTGGAAGCCGCGCTTTTAGCAGAGAATCGACTAGAAGCACAGATAGCAGGGATTTTCGACGAAGGGAACAGAACATTCGTTTGGCAAAGATGTTTGTTATTGTTGTCGTGGTGTTTGCAATCAGCATGTTTCCAAATCAAGTTCTTTGGTTTTGGATCGACTTTGGAAATGGTCGAGACCATCATGTTTTTCATTACATATCTGTTGTATGTCGTCTTTGCACCTACGCAAACAGTGTTTTGAACCCGTTTATTTATGCTCTAAAGAGCAAAGAGTTTAGATCTGGGTTTGCAAAGATTGGGCGTGCAACGGTTATGAAGCCACTGAGAAAAATCAGCACCGATGGCAGAAAATTTGTGCGAAAATTAAGTGGAAATGTTTTGGAAAGACAACGCCCTATTCCAGTTGAGATGAAATCTTCTGCTGCCGCAATCGTTTTCAATGAAAACTGTGGAGAATTCCAGCACAATTCACATGCAGAAGAGTGCGGTGATATAAAGCCGAGACAGCCTGACCGGACTAACGTGATGCAGCCGCTCAGAAAATTGAGCAACGAAACTAGAAAATATGTGCGCAAATTTAGTGGCACTGTCTCTCCGGATAGTCAAATACCCATGTCTGTTCAGAGGACATCTTCAGCTGGCTTATTTAAATCCAGTGAGAATGAAAACGCTGGAGCATTTCAATTCAGTAGGCAAGCGGAAGTGTCTGACAAAACGAAGGGCAATGATGACGGGTCGATTTTAGCTCCCCGTCGTCGAAAATTTTCATGTTACGGAGTTGGTTACGGTAAGGAGCAAAAAGACTTGTCTATGAAGCGACGGCCGGATGACCCGAGCCAAGAAATGACTGAAAACAAAGCAAGTAAGAGCAGCAATGAGGTTAAATTTATGAAGAACAAAGCAACCGAAAATATTAATATTACTGTTGACATGTATCCAGACAGAGTGGAAAAATGACCTGTTGATATTTACGACGGATTTTAGAAGTTTTAATGTGAATTTTGCCCATAAAAGTTAAGAAGCTTAACGTGCAAAATAATTGCACTTTACTGTTTTAAGTTGAGTTCTCTTTCAGAGGTCTTTGCGTAAAGATGATTAGAGTCTCTTTGTACAAAGATTCTTTCGCACTTAAATTTCCAGTGGTCGCGTGATCGCGTGATGTTTGGGGCGATCGCATACTATCGCCAAAAAAATAATCAATCTTCTAAATCGCAAAAACTGTTATCTTTAAAATTGTAAAAAAGAACAGTTATCCTTTTTCGCTGTTGACGGTCAAAGGTGCCTCTTCCTTTTCGGCTTAGAGTTTTGACAGACAGACATTTATGGAACTTAATCATAAATGCATTATAGGTTAAAGCAGAGTTATCTTGAGAAGTTTTTGTAAACAAGTTGTTATGGTTTATATATACAGATATACCTGTATTCTGTGAAGACGTACAAACCCCTAATTTAAGTCTGATAGAACTACAGCGACGTTTCCAAGGGGGCCGCGGACAAAAACATTTCCTCGAAAAGATAATTAACACCTTTTTTTCTAAGGACATATGGAACAGCGATTTAAGAAGGTTATTTTGTGTAAGAACGAAGAACACAAGTGTCTAGCCTAAAAAGTTAATCTGATAGTCTTAGTTTAAGTACGACGTATTCAGATCACGAATTGATGCTTCAAGTAACTCTACAAACATTTATGATCATGATGTTGAAGACTTCGTTAAACAGGTTTTTTCTTCTTTGAAGGAACTTCGTTTTCATTTTCAGTTTTAGCTAGTTTTCGTTCAACAAGAACAGCAACTTCATTGTAACGATGTTACCTCATGTCTTCCAGAAGGAATTTGAATTAAACCCACATATCTTATAAAACGGGGTACAATGATGTGCGAAGTGCTGCACGCAGTTGACGATGGATAATCAAATGGCAGAACATAGACTAAATTGGGTACTTTTTCAAGGTAACTAAATGGTGATTATCTCAGTCTTTTTGAACATCATCCATCATCATCTTCATCTTTTGGCGAGCGTCGAACGGGTTGATTCTTTACACCAGAGACGGATGAAATGCCTCGTACTCTTTTCTTTTTAGCCTCTTGATGTGATGGGTCATTAAAATGATTCTCTGCATTACTTTTTCTCATTGTATCATTTCATTTGTTTCGTTTCGTTTCGTTTTTGGCTTCTTGTTCTTGTTTTTTGTTGTCGTTGTTGTTGTTTTTGAAAAAAGAAGTTTTATTTTCTTATTTATGTCAACGTTTGACTCTGAAAACGATTGTGGTAATCGTTGCGTTACTGCCCGGTGAGGAACTATTATTCGACATTAGCACTTCAGAAGCTCGAGGATTGAAACCCCATCATGTTCCATGCGACAACTTGATTTTTCGAACACTATTGAATTCGACAGCGTCTGTCGGGCTGAGCTCGAATTTATACGGATGATCCACACACGCGCCTGCCCTTTGCACATAAAGATCGGGGTAGTAGCCAGCCCTTTTTTTCCTTTTACGCCGAAATTGTAGAGAGGGCATTTTAGGAGCCACTTGACTACCTTGCTACTTAGTATTTGTATAATGGGAACCAATTCCATAAAAAGAAATCAGACAAGGAGAAAACTGTTTACTAGATATTATTTGAGAGCGAATACTCCAAAATTACGAGTTTTTAACCTATATGACTCCAGCGGGTAATCACAGTAAACAGAGGGGACGGCTTAGACGTATCAACTGGGAAAAAAACATAATGGCGTTCAGCGACAGATTTTCTTAGTGAACAACGCGCCAATTATGCATGCCCTTTACCTCGAGAGACATTGATTCTTGTATAGTGGGTGCAACTTCACACCCTGTTAAAATTCCCTTACGTAAGCTCACTTTGAACCAAAGTTTTGTTAAGCCCGGGCTTAAGAGCTTTAAGGTAGCTACAGCTTTACGCCCCTGAAGACCGCTACTTAAATTAATTTCCTGCTCTTTATAGCTCCAATTCATGGATGAACAAAGTTGACAAGTCAGGTTTTGCGAGCGAATGACTTGTTTTATTTTTCAATCTAGGCTAAGAGGAAGCCAATCGCTGCAACGAAGTAAAATGATTGTTTTGCAAAGGCATGCAAAAGAAGAAGTTCAAAGCCCATTACGTCTTCAAAGTAGCCATTAATTTCCAGCAGGAAGGCTTGACAAATAGTTTCTATACCGAAAACTACGTTAAGTCGTTTGTGGTCAACTAATAAAAGTAACATTGCTACTTCAGATCCGTTTGCGCTCTTAAGAAGCCACAAAAATTTATTTGACTGTCCGATTTTAAGCCGTTTAAAAAAAAATATTATGATTACTTAGTCATTTAAATTTTTTCACGTCTCTGAAATTTGTATATCAGTTATATGACTGGGCTTATCCCCGTCTGTTAAGTAGCTTATTTCATGTGATGTCTTCCTCTGACTCGTCATTAAATCCCGCAGAGGCACAGCTGAAAAGGTATTTTTGTCACGAGCGCCAGTTCACCTTGGAATTTCACGCGGAAGAACAAGTACCGAAATGTTAAAATAGGTTTGTATCAAACACAGCTTTCTCGCAGCATGAATGTTCCGGTTTAAACCTTGTACAGCAAAATGGACGGTCGTTTGAATGAGTTTGTCATAGGGTTTTATTGACGGACTCAACGTAATGTAACAAACCCGTTTTGAAAAAACGAACATTTGATTCCAGCTTTCATTTGAGTGGTCACTCCGCAGATGTGTTTTTAATACTTTATTTAAAGCTAAGTCTGTAGAGTTTTTTATTATTGTTTGCTTCTCTGTGTTGTTTTGTTTTTTGTTTGTTTGTTCATTTTTTGTTTAAGTTTGGAAGATTTAGATAAAATTGTGACTACGCGTCACAATCATTCAAACTCAGTGCATAGGGTGGTGATAGAGTCGCTTGCGCTGGTTATGAATAACAATGTCTCACTGTCAAAAAGAACTTGTGAACTTTAATTTGTTTTTGTCGGTCGGCGTTTCTTCCGTTTAAGCAAGTTTATGTGAGCATTAAAAATGTTCTCACCCAATCAATTTTTATGATTTTATGCCGCGTGGTTTGTTTTTCACCATGAGTTCGATTGGTCATCAAACATCAACATCCCCGTGTTGACCGCGGCCAGAACCCGCCTACAGAGTGTGAAGGTGGATTTATGACAAAATGAGCAGGCTTCCATTTCATGTTTGTTTTTATGTCAAAGATTTAATCACAAAAAGTATACATTAGCTTAAATGGCACGACCTATTCAGAGATTTAACCGGAACGAGCGGAAATGTTTCGAAAACATTAACAGATCAGTTTGCCAAATTTGTTTAAAAAAATGCATTGTTTTTTCTGAGTTGGTCCCACCCTTAAGAAGTTCTGAGAAGCTCTAAACCGATGAAAAACAAGTCGACAGACTTAACTTTTGACTAAAAATAAATTTCACGTTACTACTGCCATTTCTAATTCCAGATCCTCCCGTCCCCCAACCATTAGTTTTCTGAAGGAGTCACTCGTGAGGTTTGCTGACGGCATCAATTACCAGGAAAGAGGTTTTACTGAAGGGGATTGTTATCCGAAATAACAACGCCACAATTTCGGAAGGTTGCAGACTTTTCTGAAAGTTGAAACTTCTGGCTTTTAAAAGAGCTGATCATTAAGGGGGCGCGGTGGATACTTAAAAGAAAGCCCCATAACATATTCTCACTGAAAAACGGTTTCAAGCTTCGACCGGGAAATGAACAAAGCTTGCCTTTTCCACACTTTAGCAGCATAAAATTAAAACCAAAGCTTGCTACTCATCGAAAATATAATTGTATATATTTTAAAAAATTAAATTACAGAAGCAACCTGCAGAAATTAAAATGACATCAACTGTTCGCTTTCATTTATTTAAACTTTTTTAAACAGATCGAGCCAATGGCCCTTGTACTAAAACGCAATTTCATTTGTAGTCAGCAGTCAGTTTCTCGAAGTTCTTTAATAAACCAAGACGACCTGTCTCTAAAAATGGCCTTTAACTCTGGAAATGATATATCGTTAAAAGGTTTCACCTTTTCAAGGTTTTTACATGACGTATATAGATTGATAACGGCTTCCCTATCTTTTGGTGTCTCAGAGTCCATAGGAAAACAAGTATCGCTCTGATAGAGAGTAGATCCTTCATTGGATTTTACGTGCAAGCCCTTAACCTCACCTATTTCATAACATGAAAATTTCCGACGTGGAACGTAATTACATGGTTTTTGACGCTCAAATTCAAGCGTTATCCCTCTACTGTCTGTATCTCTGATCCTTTCCGCCGATTGCCAACTGGGTTTGAATGTTTCCGAGTAATCGCCAGACATGGGAGATATGTCTTCAGTAGCGAGCGATGTCGTATCAACCAGGGATCGTTGATTATCCAAGACATTAACGTTAGTGCTCACCTTGCGCACAAATCTTCTAGTCTCGGCGCTTATTTTTCTCAGCGGTTTTACTACAGTAGAATGACCAATCTTCGCAAATCCAGATCTGAATTCTCGGCTTTTTAACGCATATATAAACGGATTTAGGACGCTGTTGGCATAAGTGCAAAGCCGACAAACTACGGAGATGTAGTGGAAATATGCACTCTCGCCTCCATTACCAAAGTCGTGCCAGAACCACAAAACTTGATTCGGAAACATGCTTATTGCGAAGACTACCACGACGATAACAAACATCTTTGCCAAGCGAATGTTCTGTTCTTTTCTTTTAAATTCCACGCTATCCTTGCTCAAATGCGTCCGTCGTCTAGACTTTTGACATCTCCTAGAATTCACAGAGAAGAGTCGGGCCAGATTGGAACGTAAACTCCTATAAATAAGCACATATGCGATAGACATTGTGATCAGTGGCAATGCGTACTGGCACAAGAAAAGGAAAACGGTATAAACTTGTCTGTAACGTACAGCTGGCCAGCTTTCGTTGCAGGAATTTTTGGCTGGATTGTACTCTAAAGCAATAAAATAAGGAATGCATAAGCATATTGAAAAAGCGTGAACTGTTAATACGAGCAAAACATTAGTTCCCAAGGAAGACTGAGGGAGGAAAGGTTTCACAAGGGTTCTGTATCTGTCCAAGCTGATAGCTGCAAGAATAAGGCTCGATGAAGTCGAGAATACTGTTTGTAAGGGCCACAGAAGTTTGCATACTGTTCTTCCAAACGGCCAGATGTTTCTGAGTTCTTCGAGAGCTAAATCAAATGGTATACTTATAATTGGTGTGAGGAAGTCACACGCCGCTAAATTCAGGATCAGTAGATTAGATGAAGTCCGCAAATTTCTTGCTCTTATAAGAACAACGGAGACTAAAATGTTTCCAACAGAGCTAAGAACCAAGATAAGGAGGTATAATATTATCTTCGAGATTCTGAACTCCATATTTTCCAAACTCGCTGTTTCTTCTTGGTACTGGGAGCCATTATTCGGCATCATGCAGTACTGCTCCCCGACTGCTGTTGCTATGTGGTGGCTATATCTATCCCCGCTGTTTAATTTGAAAAGCAGTCGTGAGTTGGCTATTGACGCCCGCAGTAAAACGACGATGTAAATGTTCACATTTCTTATCTGTTCAAACGATGGCTTGGTTAGTCACTCACAATTTTTTCGACGGCGCTGTTTCATAAAGCAACGCCAGTTACATATATCCCCCAGCTTTCGCAGAGAAACTGAAGTCGACAACACTGAATTCACTGACTGGTAGTTAAAATATGATAAGTCAGATCCTCCTCGCGCTATCAAGATCATCTAAATCCTATCTGATCTCCGAGAGCTCTTCCTTCGTTGAATGCCATTGTACTCCCTGCCCAATCGCATCATTATTAACGAACGCAGAACCTGCGGTTTCTATTGTGAAACATAACATGGACGGTGATTTCATATAATAATAAATAAACAATGCTTTTAATAACTTTTGAAAACAAATATCTGATAAACCCGGGGGCTACACAGTAAAGTTTAATACGGGGAGGCTCCGCCGTGAGGTCAAACCCCTTATTCTTTTATATACCATTATAATATTGTGCACCATTTTTGACAAAAAGGTATTCCTTTCGTATACGTTTCATTGACAAACGGTACCCCTTTCATATACTTGGTTTAGAACTCTGCATCCCTTTTAACTCAGTGCTGTAAATGAGCTTTCTTTCAAATATGAAAAAATCCGCTAAACTAAAAGAAATTTCTCCTCTCTTTTACAGGCATAAAGTTTTGCTGTAGCCCTTTTTAGGTCAATTAACAGACCCAAATCAAAGAGTTCCCTACTCTTTCGTATACTTCAACAAATGAGATCCCAACCCTTTCATATAACTGAAGCATGAAGAAGGTACCCCTTGCGATTTAGGGTGGAGCCCATTATAGAGAGTATCCCCCCCGGATCTTAAAAAGGGTTCCCAAAGTTTACATTTTAGAAAAACTCGACATTGACAGAAACACAGGAAGCATCCGTCTCTCAAGGAACTGGTTTTCTTGCTTAATGGTAATGTAGGCTGCCAAGCTTAATGTTCTTGACCTTTGGAGTTAGCACAGTGGGGTAAACGTTTACCCTTTCTGTTTACTTAGCAATCAAGTATTGAGTACATCTTTTGATTGCAAAATCATCAGGTTAACGCCACCGCAAGATGAAAGAATTCCGCCCGCGATGGTATAGATTACTTAATAGATGACGGGATTCCATCGGCAGTTTTTCTTAGAGAAAATTATAGGGTGTGTACTATTTGATCGCATTCCGGAATAAGAGTAGAATATTGGAATAAACTCTGAAAATCCCTCATATGATCGGCGTTTGGTGCATTGCAATATCTAATCTAGAAATCTGTTTTAAGTGGCCCAAAAAGCAAGGTACAAAAGATATGAAACAAATTAAAAATTTGGGGTATTTTTATTCCGGAATGCGATCAATCGAATGCGCCTTATAGCGCTATAAAGCAAAAAAAGTTAAAATCTAGTTTTCTCGAACATCAAAGCGCAAGAGCACCTGACTTTGACAAATACGCCAAACACCTAGCAAGCATAACGTGACTTGTGGTTTAATTGCGTGGAGGGGATTAATTTTTTTGAAAAGCCCTTTGCAATACATTGTAATTTTAAGTGTCCTGGAAATGTTCACGTAATGAATCAATCACTGTCGTGACTTTTTACCAGCTTGAATGGGATCTCTGTACTAAGGGAAGGTGTTCCTCTTCGAGTAAAGCAAAGAGGCCCTGTTTCTGACCACGCCTGGTCATATCGACAGATGTAGGCACTGGCCTTTCCAAACTCAAAAATTTTAAAATGTTATCATGTACGTTTATTACAGCACATCATCACGCTGAAAAGATCCTTTAACTTCAATGACCTGTCATTAACCTGCGTTATTTTCCCTCTTAGAAAATACCCCCCAATTAAACCTTGCCTGACCCTGCCCATTCTTTCTCCTTTATAAGACTGAGTGGCCAACTATCCAAGACGCGAACACTTAGAGCCAGTCTGGGCAATGTTAGTTTTGGAAAGAGGCCGACTGTGTAGTGTCAGTTGGTTGCAGTGGGGCAGAATTTCTTATGCAGTTATACTATTTCGGAAAAGATTGGCCGGGTGAGGTAAGATGAAGTAAAACTAAAACACCTCTTTGTAAACATTGTTTCTTTCCCAGTTACTTCATGAAAAAGAAAAAAATGAATAATTAAAGATCAAATGGAAATGTGTGTTTTATACGGTGCAAATAATGTAGGCTTCAATCGATAAGCATCAAAGGATAATGTATGCTACAGATGTAGATCATTAGCGGGAGACTTAATATATAAAATGGCAGTCTTAAGATAATAAACAAGTAACTCAAGGTAAACTATAGGTCATGATCTAAAAAAAAATGGACATTAGAGGTCTATAAATCAATTCGTGGACACATGTGAATCAGTTCATTAGGAACTCTAACACTTGTATACTGAAGACATAACACAGCTGCCATAGGTGGCGACCATAACCTTATCCTTCTTCATGTGCAGACGGAATTATACCGCCGCTAATAACGGATGGGTTATTTTTTTGTTTTGGATCGGTATACAGGAGGAAAATTTCGTTTGCGACAAAAAGTTATTGACTCCCTTATTGTTTTCTTAAAGTCATCATAACTTAATGCAGTCAGTTTCAAATTGGGCTCCGCTTAACTGATTTTCCCAATCACCATGTAAGTTTTCAAAATTGCATATGTATGTCAGGTCTATCTACACGGCGTTACTCAGCAAGTCGTTTCTGCAAGTTCCTCGAGTTTTTCGTACAAGCTGGGAGTAACTGAAATTGATAGATCGATAGAAAAGTCATTAATTGTACAAATTAGTTCTGACGTTTTGTAATGCATGTTATAATTGCTAAGAGGTGGTTCAAGAGTTTCTTTACCATTAGTGAAAGTTTCTGAGAACCTCTGAGCAGGTGCGGTTATGCCAGAAGACTGCTGAGGCAGAACAGCGGGACGCTGACCGGCATCTGAAATGCTCCTGCTTATTTTGCGCACAAACTTTCTTGTTTCCGAGCTTATCTTTCGTAAGGGATGCATACTTGCTCGACCAATCCTCGCAAAGCCGGATCTAAACTCTTTGCTTTTTAAGGTGTAGATAAAAGGGTTTAAGACACTGTTTGCGTAAGTGCAAAGACGGCACACAACAGAGACGTAATGGAAAAGCTCATTGCTTTTGCCATGGCCGAAGTCGATCCAAATCCAAAGAACTTGATTTGGAAACATGCTTATAGCGAATACCACCACGACAATAGTAAACATTTTTGCCAAGCGAATGTTCTGTTCTTTTCTTTGATTTTCCACACTGTCCCTTATTAAAGTCGATTCTTCAGATGATCTACAAACATTGCGAGGTTTTTGAGGATCAGTTTCCATTGATAGAAGGCCCATAAGGTTTGAGCGTAAGCTGCGATAAATAAGCCTGTACGCTATAGCCATTGTTATTAAAGGTAAAACGTACCCACATAGACACAATATCACCGTATATGCTTGTCCATAGTGCATATTCGACCAATTCTCGTCGCAAGAACGTTTTGATTTGTCATAGTCCAAGACAAGACTATAAGGAACACACAAGCCGATAGAAAACACGTGCATAGCAAATAAGCAGAGAAGAACTTGACGAAAAGTGGTGCGCCTTGCAAATGGCGTCACGAGGTTCCTGAACCTATCCACACTGACGGCCGCAAGAGTAAGAGATGAAGACGTAGAGCTCGCCGTTTGGAACGGCCACAAAACCTTGCACATCGCATGACCAAACGGCCAGATGTAATTTTTCTCCTCCAAGGCAAAATCGAACGGAATAGCCAAAGCTGGAGTGATGAAATCACACAAAGCAAGGTTCAAGATTAGTAAGTTTGAGGGAGTCCGCATGTCTCGAGCTCCAATGATGACGATTATAACCAAGCTGTTACCAATGCAGCTTAGTATCCAGATTAAACAGTACAGAGTAATCTTGGCAGTTCGGAATTCTGACCGTTCCAGATTGGTTGATTCGGGCGAAAAGTACGTATCATTCGCTGCCATTTTCATCAATCGATGACACGTTAACGCTAGCGCAGTGAGGCGTTTGATTAGCCAAAAAAAAACAAATGATGAGAAAAACAACTGGCGGTAAAAGGGCGCGATATTGCTCTTCACCATCAAACTATTTTTATCAAACTTGAAAAAGGTAAAGGTATAAAGGTTCGAGTTTTCCTTAAGAACAGCAAAATTCATCAATTATCAGGTTCTCGTCTGCGCATCAGTGAAAAAAGGTATTCAAAGTCATTCAGGGTTTTTTCCACGGCTGCGAGTACTGCCATAGTTCCTTCAGTAGCAAGAGAGGCTGGAATTTTTTTTTCCACAACCCAGAACGAAAAAGAAACTGCCAGCATTCATCTAGGGATCGTTTTCAAAAATCACAAAACTCATTTGTCAAATTATTAGATCATATGAGTTTATAATGAAACACCACAGGTAGCCATAGAAGAAAACAATGCTGAGAAAACAACGATTAATTACATCAGTAAGCTGGTTTATTGAAACTATGATTATATTGTCAAGAGACTCGGGAAAAACGCACACAAATTTCAACACTGAGTCCTGCTTTCTCCAACACAACGTTTACGACAGGGGATAAATAGCTTAATGAAAGGATAGAGGGTTCGTGACTTTTCAAGTGGGCCCTTGGGGGGTGCGTTATTGCTGCGCGCGCTTCCTTTAGAAAAAGTCACATTAACCGGATAATTCTTTGAGCTACTCTTCTCTTCTCAGTCACGATATAGAGTAAAATCAGGAATGGGACCTGGACTATTGAACTGGTGGAGAGTGTTGGCGGAGCAAGTCTACATATTCAAGCTCAGTGTCACTTTCTCTTACACAGGGTTGCGTGAATTATTCCACATACAGTTGTAGCAACTGCTGAGGCTTGTGTACAACTATCTCGCGAAGGATAGTTGCCCACCGTTTTATCTACGTATCCAAACCTATTTCTTAGCTTCTCGATATCAAATGACACACCCCGCCGCCCATCAAATTTACATAATACCTCTTGCGCAGGTAGATGGTCTTTTGTATGTGGCTTGTGTATGCACCGTATCCCATTATGTTGGGTCATCTGCAATGTGTTATCACCACTTCACTCAAATACGTAATTCTTAAGATCAAGGCCTTGTCTATGGCTATAATCCCGCTCTGTTTTGAGTTCTTTCGGTGTCGTGCTGATGTCTTGCAGAGTTAATTTTCACGTAGTACGATCAGCATTGCAGTATTCTGCTTGCAGAATTTAATATGTCTACTTTTCATTTTTGCTGATCAGGTCTTTATTGATTCCACGTTCTTCGGCATATTCGTTTGCGGTCCCTTGCAGTCCTTTGTGGTTAATGTTTGTACCTTGTTTAAAACCCATTTAAGTCAAGGTCGAAAGTGTTGCTTGTCTTCGTTGCTGTAGAGTCGAGCCCCTTTCCGGCCAAAATATTTGAGGCAGGCGAAATATAAGAAAAATGTATCTACTGAAGATGTTGTCCAGCATTACGTAAATTCTACCCGCTAATTCTGATAAAGAGATTAGGATTCGATGTTAGTCTCTTTTTAGAATCCGAAACGCTAATTTAGTTGACAATAAATCATGTTTCAAATATCAATATTTCGTGATGCTTGATGCACAGAGCTCCTTATCTGCAGCTTGCAGGCTACAAAGTCTCTTCACATTTCCCCTTTGGCCTAAGTTATTCTTAGTTCTGGCTGAAGTTCGCCTCATTGTTCACGTTCCAACGCCGATACGTGTTTCTATATCAATGATATAAATCCAAACTAGTGGCTCAGTCTTGATAGGAATGACAAAACTAGCAGTTAAGGGTGGTGTTCGTCCACTTAAAAAAGTAAAGTCGAGGCTGACTTGTTTAAGTTATGTTTGAAAAAATCGCTTTAAACATCGATCATGGCTTGTTACCTGCACCTGGTGGAATAAATACATGTCTTTATGTTGTAATTCAGAGGGCCATTTTGCATGTCAGTAGAGAAATAATTTCTTAGTTCTGGCGTATAGTTCAAACAAGATCTAAAGGAACGTTCTGTTGATAGTGCCCCTAAAGAACAATATAGAAAGGCTTTCGGTGCAACCTCTGTTATTTATCAATACTGCCAATACAAGTCTAATTCAAAACGGAAGTTGTTTAATTGGATAAAGATAAGCAACAACCCAACACTTGAACGCAGATTTATCTTTTGGTTAAGGTTTCAAGGCTACACAACAAGACCGCAAGGTCAGGTGGGTAGCACTGTAAATCGATTGTTATTGGGTCATAACTTCTCGGTTCCCAGTGCCACGTACTGGTATATTAAAACGAAGCTAACGTATACCATTGTTATTTTATGACAGAAAGTTGTTGCTTTGTGGCTGAGTTTGCGTTTTCTTTCCTTCTTTTTTCTAATGAATTTAACCACATCGCTATGCCGTTTTCGCGGTCTCATGTCCTAGGCTTTCTGACAACTTAATTGAAATACCTGCCCTGCAGATCATCTATCTAAATCCTCGGAAATCGAAGACATCCAATTCGATAATCGCTAAAAGGCCATGGACCACGCCTTGACCGCCATTGTCTGTCCATGTCCAAAGGGCTGCGTCGAGTAAAAGATAAAAAATATCAGTAACCATTAAGTTGCAGTTAGAGACAGGCTAAGCAAGCTTAGTGGAAAAAAAAACAACAACAAAACAACAGCAACCAAAAGCAAAACCTTTAAATAGAAAACAAAGAAGCGAAGAGTGCGAAATCAGTATCTCCTCCAAAGGCTCAAAACAACCTATTGATAAAATAAGTCACTATTTAAAGGCCAGTTTGTGTATCGACAGGCAAAGCCTTTCAGTCATTTGAATATCTAGTAAGAGATCTTATGGAAGGCTTAGCAGTGACTCAGGTATATTAGAAACTATAAAAGTTTCTTTAAAACCGCAGCTCGTGAAGAAATGAAAACAATATGCTGCCTACCACTTCTCCTCCTATCAATTCCAGCTCAGTGTTTCCATTCGTCGTTGTCGAGCCCTCAGCGTAGCTGAAGCGTTCCCGCACGAAGGAAGGGCGAAAGTGTGAGCTTTGCTCGCACGAATGAAACGCTTGCCTCGCGGACTATTGCCCTCATTCTTCTTAATTCCTCATTAATTAAATGGTCATACAATTAAGTCGTATAAATTGAGTGTTTTTTAATCGCAGCTTATCCTATAATTAGTTTAATGGAAATATATGTGAATCAGGAACCACGGTTAAAAGGTTATAAAGTTTGTCCCAGTACAAACATCCGACCAGCGGTAAAAGCCTCATTTTTTGTTTGTCTGAACTGATTCCTGTGTATAAACTAGAACAAATACGTAATCAAGTACATATGTATTTTTTGCTGACTCAACTGTAGTTCGGACTATGCTATACCACAACATTCCAGTGAAACCGCCTTACGGAACAGGAGCCCTCAGTGGCGAAAGAGGGGATCCTTGATTTTAGCGCGCAATTTTTTCCTATTTCAGACATATATACGCTGCTCAGTTGCAAAGCAGATGGTAGCTCGTGCTTTCCATCATCATATTGCGATGTTTAATAATTAAGTGCTTTTGATTGGTCTCATATTTTAGTGAATGTATGGTCAATTAAACTAATGCTGCCTAACAGATTGAAATGACTAAGCAAAGTAAGTAGAAGATGGAATGCTAATTGGTTTCATCTCCAATGATTTGTCATTTAAAAGGACATCTTGAACAACTGGATTCTTTAAGTATTTGTGATGCTTTTCGGGTCTCCAATTGGCATGTTATGATCTTCATTATAACAAAAAATTTACTCTGACTTGAATTTTTAGCCGATGGGCTGGTAGTTATCCGTTGTTTAAGCATGAAATTAGCAGAAGTGGGTCACTAGTAACTTGCTCTCAAAAGTGTAGTAGATACGTATGATTGATACGAGAAATAACAGAAGAAGATTCCCTTTTTTGTGGTTTCTTGCTTGACTGATCATTTGCACATTCGGGTACCGAAAAGGCAACATTGAGAGTAAGATTGCGTTGCGATTCCTGATGGAGATGAAAGAAAACAGTTCTTTCTAATTACACGTTATGTACACCTCCGTTTGGTTAAAGATTTCTTGCACGACAACCGGGCCCGTTAACGAAAGCAATTATGATCTGTATGATGAAGGAAGTTTTAAACTTGTATTTTAACAGCTTGCTCTAATATATTAGCTGGTAATGATAATGGATATCATCAGTTTACACTGGTGATAACCTTAAATACCACAAGCAGACGATTGCGTGAGCGACGCAGATGTTCTTAAGAAGAAAATTGATCGTGACCGCCCATCAAGTCGTAACACGCCGTTATATTGACTCACGAACGACCTTTTTAACGGACGGCTTCGGGTGTGTTTGTGCAAGGAATGTGTACTGGAAGCAGATTAAATCCTATTAAGAGTGAAGACGATTAAAAGGACAACTAACAAGTACAACCTGTTTACTTTGGTATTAAGTGCTAACAATCTGTTTTCAAGATGGAAGCAAATAATACCAGCACCACCCAAGAGGGAACAACGAGTGCAAGCGTGGAGGAAATGGAATTCCGAATTGTGAAGATCTCGCTGTACGTTTTAATTTTGGCTCTAAGCTGCGTTGGAAATAGCTTAGTTGCTATTGTGATTATAGGAGCTAAAGACATGCGAACTCCAGCAAACTTTCTCATCTTGCACCTTGCGTTGTGCGATTTTATCACTCCAGCTTTGAGCATTCCGTTTGATTTAGCGCTTGAAGAAAGGGACTACGTTTGGCAATTTGGGAAGACAATGTGTAAACTTCTGTGGCCACTTGAGACAGCTTTTTCGATTTCATCTTCAGTAACTCTCGCGGTGATTAGTTTAGAAAGATTCAGAACACTTTCAAAGCCGTTTGTGAGGCGTCTTACGAGTTACCATGTTCTTATGGCCGTCTTATCAATTCAGGCTATTTCAATCGGCATCTGTGTACCTTATTTTCTAGTTTTGAATTACACGGACGAGCCTAAAAGGTCGTGC